GATTCATCGTTAAAACATGAGAATTTTTTAGAAATGCGACTTTTGAGATGTCATTTTTCAAAAATGCCATTATTTTAAAATATTTTCAAAAATTCCACTAATAATATATCATTTACTAATATATTTTATGTTTAGGTTAACTATGATATGTTAGAGTTTAGTTTTTGGGGTTTGTGTTTGTTATGGTCAAAAGTATTTTTAAAAATTATTTTTTTTGGTAGTTTAAAAGTAAAATTTGTGGGATTTTTTAAAATGAACAACTCAAAGAGACATTTTTGTAAAATTTATTTCAAAAATGACATTTTTTGAATTTTTTCTTCAAAATATTATGTTATATAACGTTTAAAATATTAAAATATTATATATTAGTTGGATTAAAATTATTAACATAACTGTGAATTTATGTTAAAAAATTAATGTAAGTATCTAGAGATTTTGAACATAACATATAAAATTAATTCAAATATTTTGATTGGTTAATTTAATTGATATGTTCTTTAAAATCCTCATTGAATGACACATAAATTTTTTGAATTTAGTGTCTCTTCAATTAATATATAGAAGATTTTTCTTGGAAAATTAGCATATATAACTAAAAAAAACTATAATACACAAACTAACCATCTTTTACTAGTTAACGAGTATTCGTTTACCACTGCCGAACAAATTTTTTCAATCTTTTTCTTTTTGTCAATCTAGTTTTATATATAGCACGACGGCAAAAATACACACACCACACTTTTAAAAAAATCTACTATATAGTAACTAGATTTAAGAGTATCCGCATATATACGAGTTTATAATAAATTATTTTATAATCGTAAAGAAAATCGATCATAACAAAAAATAGCAAACAAAATAAAATCACCAAAAAATTAAACAAAATAAATTTGAGAATAATAATGTTTGATATATTAATATTTAATTTTTAATTAAATTTTGTCACATTTATTCAAATAATTAATTTTTTAATCCTATTTTAATCGATTTTATTTTTTTACTGATTTGCTACTCTATTTTTTTATAAATCTTTTGAATTAATTTTCATATTTCTATTTAAATTTTTTAATTATATTATAATCCATGAAAAAAATACAAAAAATGCAAAACTACTAACAAAAAGTTTTGCTGTTATTAAGTTATTTTGAATCTCTATTTTAATTATATTATCTTTTTGAGTCAAAACTTATCACATATTTCAAAATAATTTGTTTGTTCTATTTCTATTTGAATTAAGTTTATTTTTATTATGTGGTTACACAATATCTACTTTTCAAAAATCTTGATGAATTGAATCTTACATTTTTAGTTGAATTATAAAAAAACAATTTTGAAAAATGCCAAATTTTCAAAATCTTTGCAAAAATGCCATATTTTCAAAATCTTTCCAAAAATGTCATTTTTTCAAAATTATTTATTTATTATATCATTTATGTTTGGGTTAACTATGTTGTAGTAGGGTTTAGTTTTGAGGGCTTAGGGGTTTTTAGGGATCAAAACATTTTTTAGGATTTAGAATTTTAAGATTTAGGCTTGAAAAAATCATAATTAGTG